CATCTGGGGCAGCATCGTTTCAGCTACAGGCTACGAGCGGCATGTATAAGGATATCAGATGCGGTCGGGAAGCGATACAGACCATCATCACTCTGGAACCACTGTGGAAATCTGTTGCACTCAGCGCAAAGGAAATGATCCGGGTTTCCAATAATAATGTAAAGCCAGTGTTTATATCCACTTCATTGACTTGGCGGATATATCACCAGAAAAGTTCAAAAAGGCTTTTGCAGACAATCCTACGCAACCGCCTTCTCTGACTGAAGATCAAATGCCTAGAAATGGTGAGCAACAAGGAAATCTGACGGTTGGCCAACCCAGAAGGCAGGAACCTAGGGACAAACAAGTATGCAGAATGAAATGCAGGTGGATTAAACATACGCTGAGAAGACAATTAAGTGAAACCACGCACCCGATATCTCCTCGATTGGAAGAGCGGAAGAGAAACGATAAGTTTTTCTGAGAGTGAGACGGAGTAGATCATGTTAAGAGAAAATGAAAGCTTAGGGGCAATTACGCAGTCAGGTAAGAAAGACTGTAGAGAACAAGGTAAAACGGCGGCGCGTTGCTAAAACCCTCTATTCAACTTGGAACTCAAAGGAATAATAATAATCACGGAGACGTTGTGGAGATGTTCGCAGTCACATCTTCAGTTACATTTACCACCTTCGAGACATTCCCGAAATATTAGCGTAGATTCCACAAAACAGCCGCTTTGTAACCACTAAATATTTGATGGGTTTGAATTACCATGAAAATATGCTAAAAATATTTTCTGTGTGATGTCAAACTACTTATATTGAGTGGTGGGTAGGATGAGGAGGAATCTAATTTTATTAAATAAGGTCACCGCATCGTATCAAGATATTTTAGGCGATTACTGAGAATTTGTCTCATTTTATTATGTAACGCTTCTAATCGAGTCATTGGTGAAGTGAATATTTTGTTATTGTTCAGAAATCGTAATCAAATTAACAAATGGAACAGAATTGCATTCTTGACGAGTAGAGAATTTATTATAAGCAATGAGATATTCTGTCAGAAAATTATTGCTTCAAAGCCAATTTAACTTCCTACTCTCAACAGTTAACTTTAGAGGAGAAATATATTTTCACTACATTAAAATGGCTATCGGAAAGAGAACCCATCCGGTGATATGAGTGTGAAAAATATTCACCAGATATATGTAGTTGTGCAACGTGAATCTATTTTCTTTGTGGTATTCGTCAGTGTGGATAAACTAGAAGCATTGACCACTTACTTGCTAAACGTACACTTATACGAACACAAGGATCACTTAATCCGTGCTATTATTATTATTGTTTCCTTTAGTTCTTAGAGGAACACGGGGCTTCAGCCGCACGTCTACTCTGCGTTCGGTCCTCTGAGAACGTTTTCACCCGCATCCACATCTGCTTTCATCTCCTCTTCGCGTGACCTCTTCCACCTACCCTTCCACTGACGACCGATTCGCCGCTTCTCATTTGGGTTCCATTCGAGGAACGGCCTGGGGTGTGATGTCACTCACTTGATGGCTTTCGCAGAGTATGGCCAATCCACCTCCTTTTTTTCCTGTATATTTCTCGTACAATCGGTTCCTACTGGATTGGTTTGCTCCCAGAGATCTCTGTTTCTGATCTTTCTGGCCGGTCATCTGATTTTGAGTAATAACGCGCTAAGTCTCCGATCCGTACAGTAGCACTGACTTCCCATTGGAGTTGAAAATCCACGCCTTATTTTTCATTCTGAGTGCTGTTGACCTCCACACAGACTTGAGAGTAAAGAAACCTTGCCTTACTTTCCCGATTCTCGCTTTGGTATCCTCGTCAGTTCCGCCGGTTGTTAAAATGATGCTTCCCAGGTGTGTTTCCCAGGTTGTTTCTTTCAGATTCCTCCTATTCACGCTGATTGTTTTCTGTTGTTGTTGTTGTTTCTGGTGTTGTTGGCCATGAATCTTCACCACCTCTGTTTTATCTATGTTCACCTGAAGGCCTATCTTCTCTGGATGCTACTTCTGCCAACTTGTTGCTTTTCACTTGCATATCTTCCAGTTTTCTGCGAGGAATATCATCGGTGAAGTGGGGATCGTCCAAGTTTTTCTTTGGGTCCATTTTATGCTGTTTCCTTGCTGCCTGCTCTCTGTCTCACTATCCAGTCTACCGCCCTCAATCAGGAAAATCATTAGAGATAGTAGTCAGCCAGCTTGTCTTACTTGCGTCTTCAGTTCGAAAGATTCTGTGAGCTTTCCATTGTGGATTACTTGGCATGCAGCATTACCACACAACTGTTGGATAATATGTATAATTGTCGGAGTCACCCTGTAGTAGCGCAGTAGTCTCCAAAGCGCCTCTCGATCGCCAATGTCGAAGGCATTTTCAAAGTCGATGAAGTTGAGATACAGAGCTGATTGCATTCCAAGCTCTGTTCAATGGTGATCCACTGTGCTGCAATTTGATCGATGCATGACTTATTCCTCCCGAATCCAGCTTGTTCTGGTCGAAGGTTTTCATCCAGGGCGTGTTTGATTCCCTCCAGGATGATTCAGCTTAGTATTATGTTTGGGATGGACAAAAGAATAATCCAGCGCCAGTTCTTGCATTGACCTAAGTCCCTTTACAGAGGAGAGAATTTTAGGTTTGCCCTGTCAAAAAATAGTTAACAAAAATGCTATCAAAACTATAGACCCACTGACTTGATTCAACTTGCGTATGTAAATCCAACAATATATACAATTATAGATATTAATTATTGTTAAACAGTCTCAAAATGTCAAACGAATAGTTATAGGTATTGTCAGTCAACAAGATCACATCCGCAGATTCAGTGTTCGAAATTAAATTAATTAAAATAAATTCCACAACTTCCTGGAAAAAATATCAGTAGACAGAGATTGGTCACTGAATCTAAGACCAACTTTGTTAGAAAAAAGCGTATAATATACATACATTTCCCTTTACTAAATTTTACTGGCCACATCATTGATCACAAAATTTATCCTGATTAATCATACAACATCGAACGTTGTCCCAAGCTGCTATCACGTCCACACAACAACATAAATCTAACTTCGGAACAAAAAATCTTCAACTTCAGCACCCCCCCAATGAGTGAAAATATTTACTCCACTTTCCACCAATTACTATCCAAATGCTTCCTCGATCAGAGTCTATATGATTGTCACTACTGGGTTGGCTAAGTCAAAAACAAAAGTGCAACATTAGATAGTCCAAGGTTGATTACCACATTTCCTAAAGATTCTTTATTTGCATCAAAGGGTCACCAAATCAAAAAAGATGACGAAATAAGGTCAATTTATTTTATTCTTTTAGCTCAAAATTTTGCTAACACGGTTCAAACAATTCAGTCTTCCTACTGGGTTCAGTCAAAGGCGTACAGACAACCTGAGTGATGCATGAGACCAAGATGAATTTCTGTCCAAATTCAATTTCACTGCTAACATTTTCAGTTTGGAGTGTGGTTAGAGAATGAGAGAGCATACGAATATGAGGTTTTTATTTTCATAGACTAGTTAAACAATCATATATCAATTTCTGTGTTCAACTGCCACAATAAAAGTGTTTCTCGACTGATATTATTTTATCTGTCCAGAAACATATCTAAAATGCTAAATCGTCAGAGTTCTATCAAAACAATTTCATCTATGCTAGACACACATTTCCAGGAGAAAGAGATAAAAAAGATACATCATAAATGTCTTCTTCGCGAGAATTGATTGATTTCAAAAGATGAATGTTGTGACGAATGGACATCCTTTATAGAAACACTGAAAATCAGCGAGAAACACAGACCTACTCCACCACAGTCGACGACGTCAGATGCCAGGACAGATGCCTGTCAACGACATTCGTTTTCTGTCACAACACCTCTCGCGTAATGGAGTAGTCTAGAATTCATCGGGCTTCTCAATGCCAATCTAAATGTTGAATAACAAAGTGCTCACAATTTAAAGCAAATGTCCTAGTCTTGATTTCTGGTAGTATCATATGTACAGCGTACTGCCGATGAGTCTCGGACTTGAATAAAACACTCGTTCAGTTCAATATATTTTTCAATGATTCCATAACTGCCATTAGGAAACAAACTGAGTTTACTTGACCTATGCTTAAAAACAAAAACAAAAATAACAATATAACAGATTCAATAGCCATTGCTCAATCCCAGGTGATTAAAGATCTTCGATAAGAACTTTGTATCAAACTTTGAGTATGAAGTTTTTTCAAACGGCACCAAAAAGTGAATACATTTTTAACTTTTGTGTTTGTTAATATAACAACTTGAATCCTTTGATGCGCGACTGAATCAGCCAGCTCACAGAATACAACTAATTCCGAATCAATGATAACATCAACACCTAATCATTCGTCTTGGAAGAGGTTGTTAATCTCACAATTTTTCCAAATTACTGTCGTAAATCTGAGTAATATATTTATAGAGCAGTTAGTGATGTCTATTCTACTGGTAACATGTATACGTAATCTCCTAACATAATATCCATCATGTTGTATGTAACGTTCATCTCCAATCATATTGTGAAAAGATACGCCTATGTTGATTCATTTTGGTCTTTACTATACTCTGTTGTTTTATGTTGCATCCCATGATTTAATCATCACATTAACAACTGCTATCAGGACACCTTACATGTATACTGTTAGTGAAAATTTGACTAAGTGGTTTGTGGTGATGTGGTACAGACTATGCTTGCTAACGAAATATTATTCTCATGTATTTCCACACATCAGTACTACAGTAGCAACAGAATACGATATATCTATTTGAACATTCTATTTGATGTTGCAGACAGATTACATTTCTCATGGTTATATACTTCATTAAAAAAAAGGACTTTGTATATTTGATCATTATATTTCATGTCGTTTGATGTAAACCAAAATCACACGATCAGCGATTGGTTAAAGAATGTAAAGTGTATATGTATAAAAGAGCGATTTGATCAATGGAAAATATGCATTGGCCTACGTGTCTTGCCTTCTATTCTTACAGAATGACCTCAGTGTTTACTTTTTGATTTCACTTTCGATTTCAAAAGAAAACAATATGTCCTTACTATTTTTTTCTCTTAATTTCATCAATAAAAAGTAGGAATGCATGCACCTTATCCACTCATCAGAAAGCGTAACAATTATAACCTTGAATATACAAAACGAAATAAATGTAACCTTATTCTTAGTTGTTTATTTTCTAGAAAATACGTATTGGTTTCTAACATAACAAGAAGAAAAACGCATCTGTACATAAATGTTTTACTATAGTTATATAAAAACTAACATACCGGGAAGCACAACACGTATGTATAACAACACACGCGTTGGCACACACACACACACGCACACTTTCTATTCCATTCTATGTAAAACTTTGATTCGCTCTTACACGTCTTAAATATATACGGACAGGAGGTGTTGAATAACACTGTTGACTATTCTACAGCTTCTTCAAAGTTGAACAAGAAACATTCATCCAGGATAATAAATGGTACGTCAACATGAACATCTCATTTCTTTATTTATTTATTAATTTACTAATACTGATGTCTTGTTGAAATGGGTTCGTAAGGATACTTACTACACGGGCTTTTTAAATCCTCAGTGTTGAATTTTGCAGATTTCAAATAGCTCAAGTAGTTGCTTTTTTAATTTAATATTTATCAATATTATTAGTATTATTATTCACTTGCGTTTCGAGTAGAACATTGGGCTTCAGCACAACATCTCAATTCCACTCCCATCTCTACAATCTTTCCAGTCTGACTCCATCATTACCCATTCGTTTTTTCGTTTCTTACTCACACGATCTTCCCCATGCCACCCTAGAAACCACACGCACAAATCATCGTTTCTGATTTAGGCTGCATCTGGGGTGTGGAGGATGTGGACAGTGGATGATGGCGCATTTCGTCGCTCAGCAGTGTCCACAGTGTATGTGTAACCAATATGCGTCTTTCTAACCGATACGTCTTTATGAAACACAAGTATAACATTACGCAAATAAGTGTAGTCATATTGTGTGTTACACACATACTGGATTTGTTGCGACTGCATCTAAACAGTGTAGGAATGTTAAACTGTACTCTTGTTCAATGGAGCACGACTAATGCTCACTTTGAAAATGAAACCAAAGTATTTCGGTATGTTGGTATGGAATTTCGTTGTCATTGTCACTTCTGTTAGTAATACAACATCAGTTATCAGTAGTGAAAAGTTTCTTTAGTAATCAAACAAGGCCATTTACATTGTCGGAGGTTTCTTGGAATATGAAGGAATTTGAACAGTGAACACGGTAGACAATCACAGAAACTTCATTTCACCACCAGAGACAGAAATATTCCTCATCACTGCTGACACCTGATCCTTGAATCAAATTCATCATTTGCAATCGACACAATTTCTCTTGAAAATTGAAATTATGTTGATCGCAAAACCATACAATCACAAACATATTTATCTCGAAAGCAACCAGATTGATGAAAATCATAAGAAGCTGAGACACACAAACAGGATATTTTTAATTTTTTCAGTATAGATGGTATTCAACTTTTGGCGTAAATGAAAAGAATTAAATATATAGTGACACCAAGCCACTCTGAAACAATGTCTCTTGGTTAGAGACAAGGGGTAGAAACTCATTCCCCATATAGATTTCGCGCTAATGAGTCATTCGCCCCTTTGTAGAACAACTCATAAATTACTTATCATCCACTTGTCCTCCCTTCTCTTTATTATAGCACTTCTCCGTTGTATTCAAACACTCAATAGTGTTTTGGTTTTGTATTGTTTAAACTCAAATCCTCTGTGTAAAAGTTATGTAGGTGTAATTTCTGAGAACTATTTATTAATTGTAGGGTCTCGTATCGACTGTTGTCATGTCATCTTTGCGAGTGCATTAAAATTTCTTCGTATATTAACTTAATGAACGTTTAGGCTATAGGCAGCTGATGGTAATTGAAAAACAAGCATGATGGTAAGATATTCTTCAGCATCAATGTTTCGATTTGATTCACTGATCACAGCATTTTATCATGAGCTGACATCAGTTGGAAAACGACTGGAATGCCTGGGATTACTGTATAGCCATCTTTTCGTAGTTTAGGACTCTTCAGCAGTGCGCACGCACCACCACTCTTCAAACTCTGGACCCTCTGATTTCATGACTAGCCCATAGACAATTAGGGGACTAGGACACGATCCAATCGCCATTCTATGAATTCCAACTTCCACTGATTCATGACATAGCGCGACAGCCAGTCAATGTCTTCGGCGAGTATTTGTCCTCACACACTACCTGATTGGCTAACGGTCGCGCTGTGTCTGGAAATTATGGGCGATTGGGTCTTGTCTCAGTTGGCTATTGGTCTACGAGCTCAACTTATGACCGAAAGGTCCAGGTCTTAACCTCGTTGGGTGCATACTGTTGAATTGTCTGAAACTACGGAGAAATAGTGGTCCAGTGATCCAGTACTTGTACAGACACTTCTATATGGACGAACACATAGCAAATCTTTTCCTTAGCTCTCAAAATTTAATATTCTCTCAGTGAGTTATTTACAAAAGATAGCATCTCCCTTCTTTAACTCTCATAAGATACACTAATATTTCAGTATTAAATAATTTACACATACACCACATTATTGCACTTTATCAAAACGAAAATATTTAATGGAATTTTACTAATACATATGTATGTAATTAGGCATGTCTTTACTGTATGTTATTGATTTAGAAAAATAAGAGGTCAGAATTGTTTTTCTCGTGTAGGCGTTTGGAGTGTAGGCTCAGGGTAAAATCTGTTGGGTCCTAAGTGGAGACTGAAAGCACTGAAATGTAAGAGCAAAATGTATGAAAGTGGTGATGAAAATGTTAAGATGTTGACCTAAATAATTTTGATGGTGTTGATGTTCACTTGTTCACTAGGTCTCATACCTGATCAAATTATTTTAGTCAAACGATGTAATGTGACTATTGGTATTTTATGTATAGTTGTTTTTCTAAAGAGCAATTCAGGATATAGACGTAGCAATTATCCGTTTTTATCTGTTCGTCTTCAGAAAATGTCTTCTGAGGTTCTACTTCACATCACATACAGTAATGGAAACAATGCACTACATTCAGCTGTTCAGTCTACTCACCTTTATAATATATGCAGCATCGCTCACGACCAACATACGAGTGATAAATTCACGTTGACTTGTGAGTGATATACTAATGTATTTTTGAGGTTAACACTAGTTTAGTGAATTCCTCCGATTCTGATCACTTGTTATTCTAAATAATCCATGGAGAACTTTGCCTCAACACTTTGTGAATTGTACTGAATTCATTTCATTCGATTTCGGATTTCCCGTTAATTGATATGACCATAATCTTCGTCCTCTGTGGACATGTCTACTCCTAATTCGGACACTTCAACGATGTTATTAGGTGGATGGAGACTGGCAGTAGAATCCAGAATATGCATTTCAGCATATTTATGATTTGTCAGTTTGACATACCCACAATACACAGCAGCTGGAATTGTGTGCAACTCAGTTGTCTATACACTTCTTTCAATTTGAAAATATCGGATGAAAACTATTATGCATTATAAGGCTTTACAACTATGCTCGATTCCATAGCCAGGGCTACCTCACTTAGTCACCCTGTCATCGCTGTTCATTGTGGTCGAAAATTCCACAAGTGATCTATTAAGCATTGTTATACAACGCATTAGAACTCATCAAACTCTACACGGTTAGTCAGCAGTACTGTTTATTGTTCTGTTGTATAAACCTAATATCAGCACACTAAAGAAAAGCTATGCAACACACGAATGGCTATCTAACGAGCAAGAGAATGAATCCAGCCAATTTGGTTGGAGAAGAGAAACAGGGTTAAGCATCCGTAATAGAGAAATGTATAACAAGAGGTATCTAGTCTCATCTTCTTGTCTTTTCACAGCATTATTTCTTCGAATATGGTGTTTTGTTTTAGCTGATGACACCACTTTGATCTGATTGCGCTAGTTTTGCATCGGGATATTTTAACGACGACCTAAATACATACAATTTCATATAAAGGCAATAGAATGGAATTGCTTTTGTATGAATAATTATGTTAATGATATCTAGTTCAGTGACTCTGTTTCAAGTGCAGTGTTCTCAAGATAAAATTAACACAAATTTGGATTACTCCTAATCCTTCATTGTGATATCCAACACCAATCAATGTTCAGTGAGTCAGCTCTTCTATTTGGCTCAGAAAACTGGAAGACACATCATCAAAAGCATTTACAACAGGTTGTAGACTTCTACCAACTGCTATATTCCCTCTTTACTGCGGATTAAATGGCCAGAAGGAGTTAGCAACAAGAAACTATGAGGAGAAACCAACCAAGAACCCAGGGCGCATAAAACATTCTGAAGCAAATGAAGATGGATTGAGCACACGTTGAGGAGACCGTCAAATGAAATCACGCGCCAGGTCAGTGCTAGAGTGGAACCCGAGTGGGAAATGACGAGTAAAGTATTTGAGGGTGATATGGGAGGGACCGTCAGAGGAGATGAGAGATTATGGACAATCGTGGGACCAGCTAAATAGGACTTCAGAAAATAGAGTAAAGTGGAGAAGAGCTTCTGAAGTCCCATATTACATTCAGAAGCCAAAGAAACCATACTAATAATTCATTATGACTGAAATAACTGCCTAAGCATGAATCCGTAAATAATCAACAGTAATTCATTGGTGGATGGTGACTAGCATTGTAATTCAGGATACTCAACTCATCTTATTTATGACTCGTTATCTGTGTGTGCCTGCATTATGCAGTGGGTGATAGTGTTCCCATCCCATAGTTTCAAGCATCCTGTATTCCACTGCTAGTCACCATCCACCAGTCAACTTCTAATTATACTCCCAGACATCGACGAAGCATCTACACAAGAAGCTGACATGTCACCTTGACAGAGAGCACTTTGGTCCAATCAGTCGAAATGAAATTCCGAAATTGAAATAAATACTTAATAGTAATATTGTATCCAAGGATTTCACCCAGTCGACCCTGTGTTTCCCTCCTAATTTCTCATCTAATAACAAAGAAAGAGAAAATTGGAAAGCAGCGTGTGTATGTGTAATTAGACTAACTTTCAGCTACAAATAAACACAGTTCAGAAAAGTTCAGCTTCGCTTAAAGTACACATCAAGTTGTTTTCATGCACCCATATGTAAACATTTATTTGCAATGTAATGCAATGCAATTCTGATGTTTTGAATGTAATGTAGAAGTCATCATCAGCTGGAATCGCTTGAAGAATGAAATGTAGAAAATAACCGTAACTGCACTATTAACTGAATCACAAAAGTGACCAATATGGAAAGAAAATTTTATTCATTTTGATTTAGCCATTTCTCAGAAAAGTTTATTGATGTATATTCTGTGTGAGTGATACTGTTGATGCAAAGTTCAGTGTTGCTGTGTATTGATTCAGTCTGACAAACCCCATA